GGAAGAAGGGTTGGGGTGGTCGGCTATGGTGGATGGGTGTAGGTGATGGAGGAAGAAGAAGGGTTGAGGTGGTCAGCTATGGCAGACGGGTGTACGTGATGGAGGAAGAAGAAGGGTTGGGGTGGTTGGCTATGGTGGATGGGTGTAGGAGATGGAGGAAGAAGAAGGGTTGAGGTGGTCGGTTATGGTGGATGGGTGTAGGTGATGGAGGAAGAAGAAGGGTTGGGGTGGTTGGCTATGGCGGATGGGTGTAGGTGATGGCGGTGGAAGAAGGGTTGAGGTGGCCGGCTATGGTGGATGGGTGTAGGTGAGGGAGGTGGAAGAAGGGTTGGGGTGGTTGACTATGGTGGATGGATGTAGGTGATGGAGGTGGAAGAAGGGTTGGGATGGTTGGCTATGGTGGATGGGTGTAGGGGATAGAGGTGGAAGAGAAGGGGAAAGGAGGGGAAGTGTGTTCGTGTTGTCCTTTGGACGTCCGGTCACAAAGAGTAGTCACGGTGGACGAGTGGCGGGGATGACGAACGGCGGGAGATGAGTGCAAGTGACCTTGGCCCCGCATTGCCCCCCTTACCCGGGCGTCCGGCTCATTGCCGGCCGTACCCCCTATGTCCCGGACCTAGACACAGTCACATAGTTCACAGTCTACAGTCATTATGCAGGAAACACACAGTTTGCAGCACACACAGTTGGCCGGAATCTGCAGAACCTGCAGATTCCGCTAGTTGCGGCAACTTACCGCTTTCATCGTTTTCCTCGCTGGGGTGAAAATTCGGTGTGCTCAGCCCTGCGTTACCTGGCCCAAATGCTGTCAGACTGATACCCAATTTGGTGGGCCCTCTCACTGTATCATAGGGAGGGCCTCCACAAAATTTGACGTCGTTCTGACGTCGTTTGGGCCAAGTTGCCCGTTTCAGGCGTCCGCCGGCTCCGGGCGAACTGTTCGGTGGAAGTCCGTTTTCTGATTTTTTCAGAAAACGGAGTCTGATGGCCTGCTGGGTCTGCAGGCCACCTGTTCTTACCCAGAACATGAGGTCTAAGCACTCTCAGACCTCATTCCAAGTTTTCCTATAGTGTTGCTGCCGACGTGCCGTCGGTCGCATTCCGCCCGATTGCGGTCTTCGCATGATTCTCGCAACGGCGGTGGTTACCCTATCTTTTCCCTGGGTCAGCAGTCTATGCTGGCCAGGTTTCGTCAGGACCACGGTCCTACAGCTATCAGCAGAGGAAAAGCACAGCAACCCTTCAAAATACCAGAGAACATCAGCCGTTTGAACCTCCTACCTACCATGTTCGAATAAAACACGGGGGGGAGGGGGGGGGGGTAAGTTCAAGTGGTACCCACTCTTAGAGCAGGGAGAGATAGGCACTAGGTGGCATCAAGATTAAAGCCCCGACCCACACCCCGGGTAAGAGGACTAGTGGAAAGGGAAGCACGAGCGAGGAAATCACACACACACACACACAAATTATATGTCACTTGAAAGACACCGGTCACAGCAAAAGGTGAGGGGGACTGAAATGAACTTAACGGAACTGCAGCACACACCACATGTCACTTGTAAGGGCACCGGTTACAGCAGAGGTGAGAAGGGGCTGAACTGAACTAACGGGACTGCAGCACATACACACACACACACACACCATTTGTCACTTCGAAAGGCACCGGTAACATCAAAGGTGAGAAGGGACTG